GAGAGAGAGAGAGAGAGAGCACAGTGGGGCAGGGAGAGGGAGAGAGAAACTCAAGCCAACTGCACTGAGTGTGCAGCTCCACATGGGGCTCAGTCTCATGACCCTGAGATCATGATGATTATGACCTGAGCCAAAAATCAAGAGTTGGACGTTTAACTGACTGTGCCACCCGGGCACCCCACAGCAATATGTTATTCTTTAAGCTGCCACTCATTTTAATGATAAAATTGTGTGTATTTAAATAAATCGTGAGTCAGTAATTATTATAAGGAAAATATGGCATCCTGTAGCTAAATATCTTTAATATCTAACTTCTGCTTATTTTATTCTTTCCAATTACCACAGTATGCTTTGATTTTAAATGAAATCTGTTTTCTTTAAAAAGATTATAAAATTAATACTTGTAGAGAGTTCATATTGATTATCCAGTTACTTTTATTGATCTTACAGGCAGAATAGTATCTTGATCTATTACATTCAACAACACCAAAATATCTACAACTCTGGTGTCAATAATCACTAAAAATCAAGCAAACATTTATAACTATCTGCAATTAAGGGACATCGATTCAAAAGGCATGTAATTGCAATAACAATAAAATAGTATTTATGTATTAAGTCATACACAGTCAACCTAAATTTAGTACCTCAGGCATTTTTATTATTTTGATATTTATACAAACCTTGGAAAGTGAGGAGCACACTGGTCAGTCCCCAGTGATGGTGAAAAAAATAGAAGTGCTTATTTTGCTAACAGTATATGTTTAGCCTGACATTGTGTGATACTGTTATCCCTTCCAAAGCATTAGAAATCAATACTACATGTGCCTCAAGCTTTTTTACAGATGAATGATCTGATCAAGATGCCCTCATTTCAGAAACTAAGGTCATTAATGTTTATCTTCACTTGAGCCATTTTAGAAAGCTTGCGGAACCTAATGCCCAATCTCAGACCACTGTGTGAACAGCGACATCTAGTGGGCATTATGACCCCAAACATTTTATAAGTCTAAACGCAAGGGTATCCATGAAACAAGTGAAATCACTATGATGTATCATCTTTAATATTGACACAAGCATATTTCCAATGAAACTATATCAGAAGATTACACTTCCTGGTAGACTTTCTCTGACTCAGTAATAAAATTTAAGAAAAGCCAGCACTGGGCTTCTAATCTTTATTCTTAATCAACAACCTTTCCATAGGTAAATACCTTTTGTAGATTTTTATAAAAATCCAATTTTGTTCTCTTCCTGTCTGAATTCTGGCTTCTAACAGGGTGATATAAAGATCTCCAAAACACGATGAGCTACTAAATAATCAGTTTTGTGGCTCTTTTAGGAACATGAATTGGAATGTCCCAGCAATAAACAAATCCAGCCAGTCTCTATGACAATGCACTGAGGGGCAATATTAAGACATTAGAAAAGCTGCCAGTCTGTTAATTATTGTTGTATTGAGTTTACACTGAGATGTTATTAATTTTTGTAAACAAGGAATATCCATTTCAAGATTTTCTAAAACAACTGATTCATGAAATGGAATTATAGACTCATTTTACCATCAAAAAGTCATTTCCTAAGTATGACTGTTTCCTGTTAATGAAAAAGTCAGTACATTCTTTGGCTGTTTTGCATAGCCAATCTGAGGCAATCCAAATAAGCTTTTGTTGTTTGCTGGAACCTCAGCTCATCATTCTCTATACATGCTTCCAGCCAGAGATCTAAAACTATCCCCCAACTCCCTTCAGGCCAGCTCCAGGGAAACTGTATCTTCCTGTCACCATGAACATTTTTTCCTGAGCACAAACTGTATGATGCAGTTCCATGGTTGTTCATGGGACACACTGGGATTGTCCCTCCAGATGGACTGAGGTACCCCCTGAAATGCCTAGACATACATAAATGAATATAAGTGGACATCACTATCAACTTATTTCATTTCCCCTAAATTAATTTCCATGGGCTAAGACTAGACCTTTCTCTTTCTCTTTAACCTTTTAAGACCTTGTTAATGACAATAAACAGATGCAAGGTCTAGGCAACGGTTTTTTTTTTTTTTTAACACACCAGCCTCTTCACATACAGAATGGGTATATTTAATACTTCCAGATCATTAAAATACCCACTTCCCAGCCACATGCCATGTTAGTGATTAGCTGGGATATTCACCTGACTTCCATTTGTGTGCTAAAAAGGGCTGTAGAAGCCAAGACCCCCAGTGACTGGACACAAAAGTCCAAAGGAGTGATAGTTCACAGGCAGCATCCAATTGGGGAACTATGAGGAAAAGAAAGGAACCATTTTATAGCACTTAAGATTTTCATGTAAATGCTAGGCAGACATGTTCCAGTGGGCATTTCACACCCAAGTATATAAGCAGCTAATCTTATTAAAACAATGAGTGTGATTCATATGCATTTAAAAATAATACTAAGGCTGGTTGAGGTGCTGTAAGTGTAAAGCCCAGAATTTTCTCCAGTCCACTCCCACCAGTAACTCCCCAGTCCTCTTTCCAAGGTCTTAAGTGTAGGAGGATATGTAGGCAGTGGCCACGAGTAGTCTAACGCTTACTAAGGGGACAGGCGGCCATGAGTGGCGTTGGAGGCACCTGGAGGTTGCCTTCTACTGCTCTCCACTATATAGACTTCATTTTCCCTCTTTTCCCTCTCCCTGTTCCCTTTGTCTCTCTTATTTCTGCCTGGATCTAACAATGATCATGTGAAGCACTGTTGTGGCCCGCTGCTGTCTGAACCCAGGTTGTGAAACAAAGATGATTTCTGAATTCCAGTGGAAAATGTTGCTAACTGCTCAACACTCAGCACATCCAGATCGTCTCAGATGAAGAGATATGGGCAACCACAGATTATTACCATCCGCTCATAGTAAGAAACTCCTCCCAAAAAATAATTCAGAACTTGAACTGGCATTCTGAGTTAAAGGTCTAATTCTCTGTCAGCACGTCTGTATCTTGACCTTGCACATGTTTTAAGGATGGATTAGTTCAGGTTTGCAAATAAGTAATTTCAAAGTTACCAGCCCACAAAAACATTTTCATTACCTTCTCTCCCCACAAAACTACCCAAAGAGTAAAGTAAATTATACTTTTTACTAATTGCCTAGGGTCATTCTTCCCTGGGCCTGGAAGAGTATACAAGGGTCTAATTGAATGGCTGGACAAGTGGCCACCACTAGATCCCTACAAGACTAGAAATAATTTGGTCTGGGTCTAAGTGCTAATATCATGCTGCCAAGTCTCTTTCTGAAAAGCATAAAGGCAAAATATCCCATCCCTGCAAGCAAACCAACCACAAGGGTAGTGCCAAGAACTTTTGGGGCCCTTTTCTTGGCCACCCGGAATGCTGTTGGCAGCACTGCAGAGATTAATATATTGTTGACATGTCCTAAAACCTTGTTAAATGTTTTTCTCTTCAAGACACGTTCGTAATAGGTTTCCAAGTTTGGTCGCTTTCCATTTCCCCAGTTTCTCCTCGCAAACCCCAGGAACTTCAGTCGATGCAATGTGACAGCAAGAGAGACGTCCGCCAGGGTGAAGGATTCTCCGCAGAGCCAAGGCTGACGGCCCTCTTCTAATCAGAGAGAGGGACATGGAGAATTAGGGGCAAGAGCTATACAGATAGACTCTAGCTGGCATCTTTTGTCTCAGTCCTGAGGGCAAGTGTGAGTACAGCAAATGATGAAGGCCATGGTACATTTTCTTGACCATCATACTCAGTGAGTAATTTTATCCTAAGACAAAGTCCATGCCAGTGTATCCCAAGCTAAGGGAGATTTACTTGATATCTGTCAGTCACCTATCCCTGGGTGAGACTGGAGCCACCTGAGCTCAAAGTTGGTCTTTGATATTGAAAAGGATTTTGAGGAGTTGAGAACCTCCAAGCCAGAGGAGTCAACAGATCTTTCCTCTTAGCTTAGGAAAACAGCAGGTGAGCTTTAGGAAAATCCATAAAATTGGGCCTGAAATGTCACTCAGTGATTGCTGCTCCTAGTTACTTATGTAAAGCAAAGAAAGTTCCTACTGTGAAACAAGTTTCATGTAACACAGTCTTCAACTTTGTTGCCAATTAGAATAGCGCAAATGGTCCATGTGCATGCACCTGGGCAATGGCTGGATAGTGCAGTTAGGTTCACAGGTACAATATTGGGATGCTCACCAGCCAGCCTGCAGATATACACAGCCCAGCCATTTTATACTTTAGACTGGAAGTATTCTCCCTGCCTAGGGAAAAAAAACTAGAAGGAGCTTTCAAGCAATTACTCAGGTTATTCAACCAAATGAACTACTGTAATTACAAATGTGTCAAACAGGCTAAGTAGGAACCTCTCAACCATAACTTTAAATTGTGCAGAAAAATCCTCCACCAGTCACATTTCACATAGACACAGATTGGGTTACCATTAGACACCTGGGTTTTGCTGAGTTCGGTATTATTGTTGCCATGATAATTTAAACTGCCCGTGAACAAAAATAATAAAAAACAGACTACAGAATGTTTTTGGTAAAATCTTAGAATATTACCATAAATATGCCTGGTATCCAGCAAAAGAGAATGAAAACACACACACACACACACACACACACAAATGAGAACCTACCTGGGGTTTCTTCATTTCTTCTTTGCAACTCAGTTTCAACCTGATCCAAGACTTTCTCCAATTCATCAAGAATTTTCTTCAAATATTTGACATTGTCATGGTCAAGCAGCTTTGACTAATTAGCAAAAATAACTAAATAGGTTATTTATGCCTGCAAAAAACAATCAATACAGAGCAAAGCAGATATAAACTCTTCTAGAGTTGGAGCCTCTTTATCCAAGGCAATGAGGAGATAGAGAATAATGTTAAAGCCAAAGCATACCTGAGGGAAAATGCTCTGGCTGTGAGAATACTCCATGGGCCAGACCCACTGGTCTACTGGCAACTCCTGTGGGACCAGATGACCAGAGATGGCCAGAGATGGCCAAGAATACAAGGGGCACAAAGAGACTCCTTTCAACCCCCAATGAATGAATGGAACTTCAGCAACTTTTGAGGAATGAAAAACTGAAGGGTCAGGCCTGAGGAAGAAATCTGAATGCAGTGAGTTAAAGACCAAGTGGAAAGTAAGGAGCGCTGTGTGTGTAGGCATTTCTTTTAAGCAGCTCACTTAGCTAAGATAAGATAAAGGAAAATGGGAAGTTGAGGAGGGTGAGGAGTGTTGATATTTGGTACATTTTTAATATGGGTGAAGCCTGTGTGTGTTCTTGGGCCCTGAGGAAAGAATCACCAGAAAGAGAAAGGCTGACTGTAACAGACGAAGCAAAGCCCTGCTCCTTAGGAGGCAGACAAGTCAGAATGAATTAACTCAAAATGGATTAAAGACTTGAACATAAGACCTAAAACCATAAAGCTCCTAGAAGAAAACAGAAGTGGTAAGTTTCATGATGTAGGTCTTGGCAATAATTTTTTAATCTGACACCAAAAACGAAAGCAACAAAAGCAAAAGTAAACAAGTGGGACTACAACAAACTAAAAAGTTTCTGCACGACAGAGGAAACCAAAAACAAAATGAAGAGGCAGCCTATTAAATAGGAGAAAATACTTCCAAATTATGTATCTGATAAGGGGCTAACAGCATCCAAAATATATAAAGAACTCCTACAACACAATAGCAAAACAACAATCTGATTTTAAAATGTGCAGAGGATCTGAATTGAAGACATATAGAAGACATAAAGATGGCCAACAGGTACATAAAAGGATGCTCAACATCACTTATCATCAGGGAAATGCAAATCAAAACCACAATGAGATATCACCTCACAGCTGTTAGAAGGGCTATGATCAAAAAGGCAAGAAATAAGTGTTGGCAAAGATGTGGAGAAAAGGGAACAATCATGCACTACTAGTTGGAATGTAAACTGGTGCAGCCACAATGGAAAACAGTATTGAGGTTCCTCAAAAAATTACAAATAGAATCACCATGTGATCCAGCAATGCCACTTCTGGGTATTCACCCAAAGAAAATGAAAACACTAACTCAAAAAGATATATGCACTCCCATGTTCATTGCAGCTTCATTTACAATATCCAAGACTTAAGTGTCCATCGATGGATGAATGAATAGATGTGGTAATATATACACAATGGAATATTATTCAACCATAAAAAATAATGAAATTTTACCATTTGCACCAACAAAAATAGACCTCGAGGGAATTATGCTAAGTGAAATAGGTCAAAGACATACACTGTAGGATCTCTCTTATATGTGGAATCTAAAAACAACAACAACAACAAAACAAAAACCAAGCTCATAGAGAACAGATTGGTGGTTGCCAGAGGTGGGGGTTGGAGGTGGAAGAAATGGGTGAAAGGTAAGAAGAAAAAAAAATGAGAGAAGGGAGTATAATAGAAGAACAAACTTGCCAATTGCCTGCCCTATTGGTATTAAAGTCCTAAAGGTCTAGCTAGGCCTTAAAGTGGCAGAAAACCTGAAATGACAGATGCCTAGTATGTATCATGAACTTGCTTTTTCATTTTACAACTTGCCTCGGCAATCAGCATGAGCAATATCTGCCTTTTAAGCAACTGTCATTAGGTTTGAATATCAAAACTAAAAAAGAAAAATTCTTTCTAAAAGCACAGCGTAAGCCAAAGGTAACGTGCACTGGTGATTTGCAAATATTTAAGAGATGTTCTAGAAATAGTGAAACTTTACAAAAAGTAGAACATTTAATACAAACAGTGGATGTCAATGGAGGACAGCCTGGTTTACTTACTTTAAGTCGCTTCTGTTTTGCGATGTATGCCTCTTGTAAATCTGGGTTTTCTTCAGCAAGTTTTTTCAGTTCAGATTCTGTGTTACCAATTTGGCCTGATAATAAAATCATTTTTGAAATAGGAAATTATTTCCTCCCTTCTAGACAAGAAACAAGGAGAAGCTAGGAAACTCCATGGTAAGAGCATGAGCTCTGGGGTTTATGCCCTGTCTCTGCCTTAGACTTACCCTCTCTGTGCCTCAGTTTCCTCAGACTCAAAATGGAACTATCAGAGTATCTGCTGCATAGGCTAAGGATTAAATGTGAGACATCCAGGAAGGCACTTAGAACGAGGCCCAGCACGTCAGAAGAGCTCAGTGCACAGTGGTGGTTCTACCTTTCAATACCTTTCAAGTTTTGTTAATGGACTTCTATACGACAAGAAGAAAAAAAGCCTTATTTAAAAAATATATATATATATTAACTCCAGGTGATGGAATTATATTGAGACCACCCGTTTCACATCATCTGAGTATTTGTGAAGAGAAGAAGGAGGAACAAAAAGGTAAAGCGGGAAGGGGAAAAGGAGGGAGGGGATGGAAGACGAGAGGAGAAGAATCAAAAGGAAAGAAAAATAGCATAGGAGGATTATAAAGGTGAGATATGATGTAATGGAAAGAATGTCGTTTCTAGAACTAGAAGATCTGGGTTTGCGTGTTCCTCGTCAAACAGCCCCCGAGTCTGACCATGGCCACCTTCCCTTACTTTCCTATCCCAGTCACCTGTGCCATAGAACACACTTTCTCTTCCACATCCCAAGCACTGACCATACTCTGTCCTCAGAAAAGGAGAGGGTTGAAGATCACAATTCAATCTTAATAAATCTCAAATCGCTGAATTTAGAGGTAGACAAATGGTTAGACAGCCTGTAGTCCAGCTCCCTCACATAAGGAAGCAAAAATTAAGGACCAGAAACGTGAACTCAGTTACCCATAATCCCCAGCAGATTCCAGATTTCATGATTCTTAGTCCATCTTCTATGAGAACATCTTATGTTCTTTACTTTTCCACAGGCTATTCTTGAGTTTTACTCAAGCTTGGCCCTCAAGGCCAAGAGCTGGAAAATCAGTTCCTATAGACAATAAATGTCCAGCTGAACAGATGAAGCACAGATTAATCTGACTGGTGCATGGATTGATCTGTAACATGAACATCCGTGAAGCAAACTCAACAACACAACACTGTCCCCAAGTCTTCATGAGATATGCCCAGTCTCAAAAATGAATTAAAAGAACTTTGAGACAAAATTCCAAGTCTTTAAGATTGTTACATACTGCGAATCCGTGTGGTTGCATAAGCTGGGATCATGGAGTCCACAGTTAGCTCAGGATGTAAAATGCAGCCATGGGTATAGGCATCCATTGGCAATGAGTCAAGTAGTTCTCGATAATGTTGTACCCGTGGGTAATACATGCTTCCTTTATCAGGCATTAACCTGGGTGTTTTTTCTAAAAACATACACATAAACATTAAAGAAAAAGTTACAAATGAGAGGTTACATCCAAAAGCAAAATGAAAAACCCAAACCCCCTTATCAGTGTTTTCAATATTACATCAAGGCATTTAAAAGATGGTATCTCCCCAGCCCAGACATTCAAAATTTGAAATGGACTGATGTACCAGACTAGATTCCAAACCATGATCACACTGAAATTCTCTCACTTCTCTACCTTACAAACTGCTACTCAACCCACGAGGCCCAGTTATTTATGCCAACGCCTCTAAGGAACATTCCCTAACCTCCTACAACCAATATCTGATTGGGTCAGGTGTGCCTTCCTCTGTACATGCAAAAATACCTTTGTACATATACCATCATAGCCTTATCACCTTAATTGGTTGTTTGTATCTTTTTGCCCTATGCGCTTCTTCAGGGCAGTGAGCCTGTGATTCACTGTCTCTCATAATGTCTCATACATTTTAGAACATTGATAAAGGCTGGATAGGTGCATGAAAGCTCATTATGAAAAGATAATCAGAGACCACTTTTTCCTAGGTTCCAATTAATACAAAGAGTGACCCTTTTGATGTTATGTGAATGTGCACTGACAGTCTTCACTGAATTCACCATGAATTTCTAATATTTTGTGTCTAGAAAGTGGGTTCTACATAAATCCTGTTTGCTGGTTAAACCCTAGACTCTAGACTACTTGAGGGCAGGGACCGTGCACTGTTCTCTGTTGAGTTCCCAGGGCCTAATATAAGATTTGGCTCATAGTAGGTGTTCAGTAAATTTCAATCAATGAATATATTCCAAATTTCTAGTTGTCATAGAATATTTGAGCTGGAGAAGCTCTGTAGCAGTTAACAAGGACACTGAGATAGAGAGGCTGAGGTATTCTCCTAAGATACCACAGCTAATTAAAGGCAGAACAAGAACTAAAATCTTTGATTCCTAAAGCAGTGCCCTGCTTTATAACATCATTGTAACATCTTCAAAGGGGTTACATTTCAGAGACTATCCAAGAAGAATAAAAATGAACCACATGATCCAAAGATCAGGACTATGTCCCTTCAGAAACACTTTCTACTTCTGACTCTCAAACTGCTCCAGAAAAATGCCAATGAGCTTATTCCAACAAGTGAAAAGAATAGCCTCAATTTTATTCATTTATTTCTTAGTTTGGGCTATTTAATTTAGAATCCTTTTGAGCATCCCACACTCATTCATAAGTGTTGACAATTCAGAATTGGTTGCAGAGCATTTCAGACAAGATCTCATAATGCCATAATCCAAGTGGAACAAGCTTTCTAAGCCAACAGACTATTTCTGACTCTCTAAGAAAAAATAAGATGGATTACTCCTCAAACCAGTGGGCAAATATCTAATTCCCTGCTGGGGAGTCCAATTCTGAAGTCTGCATTGGAACAGCTGAGAATGAATTGTCAGCCACATACTGCTTGTCAACAGTGGATTTACCCAACTACAGCACACTTCCTTGCTGACCTTTCAGGATCTTGGTATTATCAGTAGGATCCTAACCAATGCCTAGTAGACATTTCCATGAGGACAACAAACTGGAGTCCTTCTACAGTCCTTGAAATACTGAAGAGTTCTTAACCTTTTGTGTGCCACCGACCTCTTCTCAAAATAATGTTCTTAAACATACAAGATACAGGATTGCAAAAGAAATAGATTATATCGCATATGTTAATCAAATTAATTTTAAATTATAAAATATTAATATGGGTGCCTTTTATTAACTCATTAACAAGATCTAGCAGCAGGTCTAATAACTACCATAATTTCAAAGTAGCTATAAGCATAAGTTATTTTTAAGATAACTCCATAACCTGATATACTATGAACATATCTGTGATTTCTATTGGTAACAATGTCACAGGCACTCCTGATATTGCTGTGGTTTACGCCTACATTGGAAATGAGATGAAGTAATAAGTTTCTGTTGGAAATTAGTGAAGATATAATTTCTTCCCCCTCTAGGATGTCAAATCTCCTGAATTCTATTCATAGACCACTAAGAGCAACAGTTCTCAAAGTGTGGTCTAAGAATCCCTGGGCTTTCCCTAGACACTCTCAGGGGGTCCACAGACTTAAAGCTACTTTTATAGTAATGCTACAGTGTTAATTGCTTTTTCACTTATTCTCCATCAAGAATACAGCAGAGTTTTTCAGAAGCTACAGGACATGTGATGGCTCTATCACTCTGACAGTTAATGACATGTGGGCTTGTGTATTCGTGTGTTTTAAATTTTTCTGTTTTAATTTCTAATTTGGCAAATATTGATAGATACACCCCATAAAAGGTCTCTGATGTTCTCAATAGTTTTTATGATAAAGGGGCCCAGAAACCAAAAAGTTTAAGAACCACTGCTCTGGGGGGTCCAAAAACCTCAAGTTAATAACCAAAAATGGTACAGCATTTTAAAATGCTTCCAAGTAGTTAAGTTCATGGCCACTAGCTCAGGCTACTTTCTGGTGCCAGGCCTGGGGCTTGTCTTCAGAAGAGGATACCACTTCCTTCTGGGAAACTGAATAAGAGCAGGAAAAACACTGTCTGGTAATTGCTTTCTGAGGAGGTTCCATCTGGCTAAGCCCAAATTCTTCAAAGGAAGATAAATGTTTAAATCCACGAAAATAATTTTCTTCTACTCAGGACACTATTACTATGTAACTATCTCCTATAACACTTTGTCAGACAGAGCATGAGATACCCACTGAACCGAAGTTCTCATCCAGCCTCACTCTCTCTCTTCCAACACCTCCATGGCAACACCTGCAATGTGCTGTCACTGTCCTCCTCAACACCAGAGCACAATAGTGTCCACTGCCTCTGGAAACAGAGTTTTTCAAAAGGCAATTGGGAATTTCCTTTGAATTTTATACAGGACTTCCCTCTCACTCTCATTCTATTTTATTTCCCAGTCCTTCCATAAAGTATTTTTGTTGTAACACACACAAAAAAAAAAAAAAAAAGAGAGAGAGAGAGAAAGAAAGAAAAGAGAAGAGGAGAAGAGAAAAGAAAAGAAGAAAAGAAAAGAAAAGAGGAATGCTTGCGTGGCTCAGTCAGTTAAGCGTCTGACTTTGTCTCAGGTCATGATCCCAGGGTCCTGGGATCCAGCCCCCCCGCATCTTCCTCAGCGGGGAGCCTGCTTCTCCCTCTGCCTGCCGCTCCCCCTGCTTGTGCTCTCCCTCTCTGATAAATAAATAAAATTTTTAAAAAAAGAGAAAAGAAAAAGGGGCGCCTGGTTGGCTCAGTCGGTAGAGTGTGCAACTCTTGATCTCGGGGTCATGGTTTCGAGCCCCACATTGGGTGTAGAGATTACTTAAAAAAGGGGGGGCTGTTCTTGGTATTCTACCTCAGTCAGGAGTGAAAAAGCAGTAGAAGGCTTACAGAGGAAGGGCACAGAATCAGAGGACTTTTAAGAAGCAAGCACTGAAAAGAGTTTCCAGCATTAGGGAATAGGGTTGCTATACTGGAAACCAGAATAAGTGACTAAACTGGAAGAATAAATAAAAATAAACAAGTAAATTGGCAGAAGACCAGACTTTCTAGAAGAACTGAATAGGAGACAAGGCAGGTCTTGTACTGAACCTAAACTTAGGCAAGTGCAGATAGACATAAAGCAGAACGATGTGATAATGAGAGAAAACTAGTTTTTTAAAACCAGAAAGAAAAGATACAATAAAAGCATTCTGCAGCTATTTAACAGGGACAAACAGCTCCATATTGTCTCCAGTCCCTGCATTGCTCAGTAGAATAACAATGACCTGGAGCCATTAAAAAAAAAAATCAGTTTCCCCAAAAGCAAAAAATTAAAAGAATGTAGGAGCTTATAGGCATAAGATTCCATTATTTTCCTACATTGACTGCTCTGATTTCCCATGTTCCCCAGTGATGGCAGATAAAGAAGGCATAATTATGCCCTGTTTTCAAGAACGACTCCCTCCCCCCACAGGTCTATTTGAATAACTTTCAGCTCTTCCTTATTATTATTAATTCAATGAAAAGAGGCTTCATTCCTATCTTTATCCCCTTGTGGATTTTTTATTTTACTTAGATCACTTAGTGATAACACTGCTGTATAAGATAATATGCATCAAGTAATTGAATAAAACTGAACCCTTCAACTAGTCAAACACCACCCTATTAAAAAAAATATAATAAAAATGGTAAATAAGTTACGACCTAAAGCAAAAGTTATGGTTACAAACTGACTACAGTTCAAAGCTGTCACAACTGTAGAACTGGAATGATCAAATCTAAACACAGATGAGAAAAAAAATGGTGTCAAATTATAGAAGTTCATTATATGCAGCCATGATTTTCTGAGAAAGACAAATTTATAGCATTATTTTCAATAAATTTTATACCTTAAATGGTATTATACTTAAGACTTTGAACAGAAACATTTGTAATTGAGGGGCAAAACTTCTTTATCAGACAGTTTGTTCCAATCATTGTTAACACATAATATGGAATTAGAAACTTTACATTTTAACACCCCGAACTGTCCACTAAAATTGGACAGAGAGTAAAAAAAAAAAAAAAAAAAAAGTAACTTTTTAAGTCACTTTATTGGCACAATCATGAGTTTTAAATGCTCATTTTCTTTTTCCTTACCACATACCATATTTTCTCTGCACTTGGTTAGAACCTTTGTGCTAATCTATAATTTTAGTTGATGTGCTAAAAGACATATAAAGTTATCCAACTATATATGAGGCTTCTATTAATAGACAAAAATTGGAAAAATTGGAAACTCTTACCTAAATAACTGCATTTTTAATGTAACAGTGACTTCAGAATTAATGTTTTTAAAATGAGTTGATTTTCAATAGATATTGACAAAATCTTATCCACAAAATATATTTCCTAATGAGACTTAGATATAATACTTTAATATCATACCAGAATACTTTATTTCCAAACCAAATTCTATTTCCTAAGAATAAATTAGGTATAATCAAAAACTAATGATGTAATGTATGGTGATTAACATAACAATAAAAAATTATTTTAAAAAAAGAATAAATTAGGTATATATAAACCAAAGGCATGAGACATGATCTTCAGAGAACTCATATATTACCAAAATTCTGTATTCACCATCTGACATCCTTGATTCCAGATTACCACTGAGTCATTTGGCAGTAATAAATAGTTGTTGTTATTTCAGACTCACTTTTTTTATTATCTAGTGGCCAAATTAAATTCACTGAAAGAGGTTATGAGTAGTGTAAGAAATATCTAGATTTTAAAATCTATATTAGTGCATATATTCATTTGTTACATCCACTATTCCTGAGTTTCCCTAGTTTGCTTAGTATCACACCTCATCTAGTTTAATCAATTGCATGCTTTAACATATCTACTCTTCATTATAAGCCTGAAGAGAAAAAGGTGTCACATATATGAAAAGGGGTCAGTGAAACTGAGTAGTAATAATAGCACATGCATGTATTAAAGACAGATTTGGTATTATCAAGTTTACAGAATGAAACTATTTTTGAAGATTAGTAAGCTTCTAATGATTAGGGATCTTTGAAATATCTCAGGTCCTTGCACCAATTAACACCCAAAAAATAGCTATTAAAAGAATGAATAAAGAGATTGTTCTTTGCCAGCCTTTTGTTGAGCACCCATAATTGAGTACTTCTAAATTCTTCTTTTGACCCAAATTGTGACCTCAGGAATACCACTGATGTCTACATCAGCACTGCTTTCAAAAAAAAAAAAAAATCAAGGGGTGCCTGGCTGGCTCAGTCAGAGGTTCTCATGACTCTTGATCTTGGCATCATGAGTTCGAGCCCCACATTGAGTGTAACAACTACTTAAATAAAAATAAAATTTTTTAAAAAATCAAGCATAGCCATCATCCAAATTAGAAATTAATTTTTTTTTTAGGCTAAGACTTGAAGAGGATTGCCTTCGCTACCAAGTTTCTAACACCAAACTACCAATTATTTAATGGACTTATCCCAAAAGCATAAGGATGTAAATACTGATTACACACAAATGTTGAGAAATGTCTACAGGTCAGCAAAACCATTTTTAATATAATCCCCAGCTGGTAAACTAATAAGGGATGGCAAATAACAGCAAAGGAGATACCAGTGACCATACCCTATATTGTACATGAATGAATACACTTAAAGTCTCCTATTATAATCATGGGCAACTAACTATATGTCTTGTGAAATCCATTCACTTCTTATTCTAAGTTGTAAATGTTCCTCAAAGTTCCACACATAATTGGACAAAATGTTGCATGTTCTGACCAGTTCACAATTTACCATGTTCTAGATAGAAGCTATACTTTTAAAACAACTTGAGATCATACCAGCCTTTTATTATTAGCTTTAATCAATAACTTTTTAGCAATCCAGGTCTCCTATCCTTCATTAGCACAGCTGATTTTTTTTTAATTCACATACTACATTTAGCCTTGTTAAATTTTACCTTCATTATTTTTCCATTTTATTGTCCCATGACAAGCATTTCACAAACTAGTCATTATTTTAACTATCCCAGCTTCTGTCATCCACAAATGTAACAGTATTTCCACAATGTCTTTATTCAAGTCATTTATAGAATTATTAGGCTCAAGTCAGAGAATAGAAACTTGTAAGAACACCAGTAGAGATCCCTGTCCAGGCTGATGTCTATCTTCAAAAGTTCATTCATTTTAATCATTCAAAAGTGTTTATTAAGCTCCTGTTAGAGAACATCCACCATATGAAGCACTGGGGATACAACTGTTAATAAGACAGACACTATCTCTGATCTTATGGTATTTACAGTGGTCTACAAGTAATTGAAATAAATGTAACAAAATTATATAAGTCTTTAGCTAAATGGGCAAACTTGTGTTCATTTATACATGAATATTCTTTAACATGGTGGTTTGTTCATCTGAAAATGTGCACTACTTTTATCCAGCCATATTGGCTCCTTTGTTCCATAAGGGTATCTTAAGAAGTAATCGCAAATGCTCTACTTAAGATACATTATATATAGAACCATGCCCAGTATACAATGGATTCATTTTTTTGTGTTAAAGCCATTCTTCAGTAATGTAAAACTTAAGCTGGCTCCTTTTAACTGAGATACTCTAAAGTTACATATGTGTGTGTGTGTGTGTGTGTGTGTGTGTAACTAATTTATAGTGCTGCTTAAAGTTTAAGCAATTACTTAACACACAGTAAGTGCTTCTCAAATTTTAATGTATATATGAATCACTTCAGGATCTTGTTAAAATGCAGATTATGATTCAAGAGAGCTGCAGTAGAGTCTAAGATTCTACATTTCTAACAAGCTCCAAGGTGATACCAATGCTGCTGGTCAATGGAACACGCTTTAAGTAGCAAGGATTGGTAGAATTTACCTTTTCCCGTCCTTGACAATTGGGATAACATCTGTCTTGTCTGGCTCTTTTCCTAATCTCCATGGGTTCTTAATGACAAATATAAATTATCTTAATGGTAATTGTGGTAACACATGCATGTTTATTTTTTATTTTAATACATTGGGATAAACTTTCCCCATAGACTAGAGTAGCCTTTATATAACTATTTTCTTGCTGTCTTCATATCTACCATGGGTTTTGGGTCCCTTAATCTTCTTTTAACCCTTTCCAATGGAGTGACAACTCTCCTGGGAAAGAGAAAAGAGTGAAATAAAAATTGATTGGCCTTGCTTTATCTCTGCAGTTGATAAAACTATATCACCTAATCCAGGAGGACAGAGAAGTCAAGTCACCTAGGATATGCAACAAGTTAGCAATAGCTTCATATTAAGAGCTGGGATTCTTGATTGTTTACTGATTCTACTGGAATAGCCAGAATTAAAGTCCTTAGTTTCCATATTTTCATTTAACATTAAGCCCCAGTGCCTTCTCCTCTGATTCCATAAGTAGTAAGAACTTAATATTTCCCTTCTTTGAGTAGGAGTCAGAATGTATTTTAGTTTTGTTTTTATATGATCAAAGCAAAAGGAAAACTTTAAGAAAACCTAATAATCATTAACATTACTATGTTGTAAAGTAACATACTTTATATTACTGAATATCTTAAAGGAGAAACAATGCAAGGAGAGGAGGAGCAGGAGAATGGCAGTAGGACTAGTAGTAGTTCAAGGGATGCCAACAAAACATTTAAACATGATTTTCCATTTACTGTATCTTTTTAAGATTTTTGGTTATTTAAAATGGAATTCTTATACAGTAATTTTGTTTTATTCATATTATTATAACCACTTTTCCCAAGAAATACAAATTATTTAGCAGACTTGTCCATTTCCAAAAAGCTCAAGGTTAAGAAAAATTGTCTTAAATCAATCAGCCACCATTTTCAGTACAGTCCCCAGCATATAGACATAAGGATAAAAGAGAAAACAGTTCATTAAATTCTCTGGTTTAGATCAATGGCCACCTCTAAAATCTCCAATCAGAATCCTAGAGAACCAAACACTTGGAATAAGAATAGGGGCAGCCCTATTGCCAATCTAATTCCCTGGGGTTCCCTCCACACACATTTAGGTCCCATACCTATTTTTCTAAGTACCTCAGACATTCTTGGCCTGGTAATTTGGAGTTATATTCTGGTTTTATCCTGCCCAATTAACATCAACATAACTAGAGGCAGATGAAAAGTAACTGGATCTCATGCAGCTTCTATTTCAGAAGAGTCCTCAGCTGAAAGGAGCCTTCTGTTCTCTCAATTATTCCAGTGATCAGCTATATAATCTTGGGCAAATATTGAAGCTATAGTTCACCTCAAAGGATTGTCATTAGGATCAAGCAAGACAATATGGAAGTAGCAATGACTATGGGAGACAGCTAGTATAATATGAAGATATGGATTTGAAAGACTCCCATTCCAGCCCTACTTTACCATAAAATAGCTGTATTACCTTAGGCAACCCCTGTTTTCCTTCATCAATTACAATGGAATAACTAGTCTATCATGCCTGTCTCAGATGGGTTCTTTTGAAGACTGAATAGAACAGAAATTATAAAATGCCTAACATAAAACAGACTGTCGATAAATGATTATTACTTAAAAGCACTATACAAATTTAAGTGCTATAATTCCTCACAAAAGATATAAAATTCATACTATAGAGAAGTCACAGGGCAAAGCTCTCCAAATATACCAACATTCTATTCTCCCTTGCCTAAGTTTTATTCCTCTTTTCCCCTTTTTCCCTCCTATTGTTTTTAAGATGGAACTATCTGGTAGAGAAAACTGATTTTCATAGTGTACATTTCAAGTGGTCATGAATTTTCCAGGATAGAAATTCACCACCACAAACCCCACAGCTGCAGAGGAAAACCTCTGAATTTAAAAGGGAAGTTCCAACATTAAATTTGCAGTTTATATAAAATATTTTAAATAGAGTTATGCTGGCTTACATAAAATTTATGGTATCGACCTATTTTATATTTGTGTGCTTATGGAAATGGAAAAGATTTTTAGCATAAAACCAACATCATAAAACCAAAAGAAAAAAGGAAGGAAGGAAGGAAGGAAGGAAGGAAGGAAGGAAGGAAAGAAGGAAGGAAGGAAGGAAGGAAAGGAAGGAAGGAAGGAAGACAGACATATATCTGTGTTGAAAGTAAATCCAAAAAATCACAAATAGCCTTAACATTACCATCCAGGAAAGTCTGTTCAAGATAATCAATGATCTGAGTGGCCTCACAAATAATGTTTTCCCCGTGGATAAGGACAGGCACTTCTCCAGTTGAGTTCAAACGCATAAACCAAGGCTCATTGTGCTCACTCAGGGGCAGACTTACATCATGTTCCTCGCACTTCAATGCCTTTTCAGCAATTACCAAGCGCACCTGAAAGAGTTCACACTGGTTACTACAACACATGTAGGCTTTCAATTAAATGACATCCCTGGATACTATTAAGCAGCCTTTCTGTGCTTCCCTAAGTTATTATTATCAACATTCTTTTTAACTATTCCTATTCTAGGAATTAACAAGTGAGATATATTCTAGCGGGTCTTAATCCTATATATTAGAAAGGACAAAAAAAAAAGATTGAAAATAATTCTGGCTAAATTCATTCCACAGTGACTCTCCATCACCACTACTTTCTTTCCGTCCTAAACCTAAGTATGTGTCCTCCCCAGAGAAGAATCTGATATATAGATGTGCTAGGCCTTGTTGAAGAGAATGAATGCGTACAAGAAAAAGAAGGAACTGTAGATTATGCGGTTGCATGAAGGCGCTTCCCTCTGCCTCACTCTCCAAGGCCCAGGGGACAAGGCCTCCGGCCCAAATACCTAAAGTGATGCTTTTTTGTCGCATTTCATGAGTGGCAAAGCCTGAGTCATAGCCTTTCCATCTCAGACTAATTCTCTGTGCTCCCCCACAAGGCGCATCCCTGTCCTCCAGGGAGTGACCGCCCGTGTTAGGGCTTTGGAGGCCTGGTTCTAGACGCGCCGGAGTACCAGGGAGAGCCCTGAGGGAGCTGTCCCGGTGCTGAAACCCGATCCGCGCCACCCACCCCAGCAGAGGCCTTTACCTTTTGAGAGCTGAAAGAATGTGTCCAGTGATACAGAATGAGCCTAACCTCTGCGTCCGACTTGCCTTCCGCCATCAAGGGCGCGCCCCCTCTCTGCTCCTCCTGCCTCCGAGACATTTTGGGGTGCTCCGGCGCTGCAGGGCCTCGGCTGTCAGCCCTTTATTTCTCCCAACCACACTTCCCCGCGAAGCGTCGTTAGTTTTTCCGCGATGCCTCTGGGAGCCGGGAAAGAGGATTTCGCGCAGACGAATAGACCACTGGGAAATGTAGTTTCCACCGCCAGAAAGCTGCACGGCAGCGTCCGCAAAGATGCGGGGGTGTCTTCGCGCCAGAAAGCCACTGGCGTATGGAAGTCACATAGGAAGTGCAAATGGACTTTTTTTAGAGGAAACCGTCTAAATTACGAGTCCCTGAATACTAAAGTTAGTAATGAATAATGTTGGCTGCAAATTACTCATTGGTTTGGGGGGATGGGGGGATGGAGTAGAAGTTGCTCAGGTAGAAAAGCAGCAATTTCCTCTTGGAGGATTTGTACCCTTTGCAGAAGGGAAGTTCCGGTTGACAAAACAGGATAAGGATCCATGAGTTTTCATTAGAAGATGCTCTTATGGAGTCATGCAAAATAATAAATGATAACAGATCTTATAAACGATGGCGAGTTGAAATAACCTAGTTGCTAAACACAGAATTTTTAGGGCAGAACTACCTGAGTTCACGTCCTGGTTTTTGAAGTGGAGGTAATAATTCCATTTCCTCCATAAGGTTTTCCTGACAATTAAATAAGTAAATACAACGTTAAACACTCAAAATAGCCTCGCATGTTGTAGGCACTCAATATTATTCACAAGTTCAGCTGCTTTATAAATACCCTCATAAGCCATAGTCAAAATCATAAATTTATACTAGTCTAATGATTGTATACCTCTTAAAATTTGGCATAATAGTAAATTAATAAAAATTCTCCATTAGTAAATATGTATTAATATGACCATAAAATGAATCCTTGTATAATTCATTCAGTAAATACTTAGTGAGCACCTTCTACATTCTAAGCATTATGCTACGCTCTGGGAATACAAAGACCTGACACTCAAAACATGTCTGGTGGCAGAGACAACAAATAAATAGACAACACAACAGAGATGATAACTGTCAGTCTTAGAATGAACACAAGGTTCTATGAGAAAAGAGAGGCAAGTATGCAACTCAGGTGAAGAGAGATAAAATCTCATGAGGTACTTCCTCCCCTTTACAATATTTCATTTGTTGTTCTCTATAATTCTTTTATAATTTTTAAATATTTAAAAAATCTTTCATACTCGTAAGTTAATTCAAATGCTACAGCAAAAAATGACCCTTATCAAATTTGTTTTTTTTATCCATTTGTTCTTCAGAGTAGAAGAGGAAAAAGCAAAACTTTGAAATCAGACGGAGTGGGGTTTAAATTCTGGGTCCACCCCTAACTTGACCTTTCTTGAGCCTTCACTTCCTCATGTGTAAAATATGGATATATAAAAATATATGCCTGCTGTGGGAATTCAGTAAAAGAATGTATATAAAGCACTTAACACATTGCCTGGAATATAGCAGTTGATGAAAGCATATGTGGAAAGCTCCTCCATGACATTAAGAGAACATATTATACTTTCTCTTCTCTCTTAACGGCCTCAAGATTTTTACAACTACCTATATAATCCTCCATTCCCACTCTCCTCAGAAAAACTTTATTTTAAATTCTTCCACTTCAGATTCCAACATAAACTATACAGTTACCTTTCCTTAATTAATTCAATCACTTCAATATCCAAATAGACTCAACACTCTTGGCAGGTCATCTGTCACTTGCCGTTGAAAGGGTTCTCACAATAAATCCCACGTATATAAAATACTGAGTACTTTCCCGATCACATCTTCCAAGTTACAAAGCCTTAGAGCAAACATTGAATGAATTGATTGATTACTGTGTTGGTGTTTAATATTAAGCATTCATAGATGTCCTTGGGAGTACAAATGTGTACATGGCTTCTGACGGGAAATTGATCCATATGCATCAAAAACCTTGAAAATGGGCATAACTTCTAGCAATTCTTCTATTTGCAGTTTAAGGACATAAGTTTTAGCAAATTCCAGCAGTTGGCTGAATGATAGATGGTAATGGTAATAGAAATTTTAGCTATGCACATAGCTGTTAAAAAAGACTGCATTTCCCAGACTCCATTTCACCTAAATGCGACCTTATGACTACATTCTAATAAATGGGATAATGGATGTGCCACAGAGAAAGTTCTAGGAAGTTTCCTTAAGAAAACTGTTAGTCCTGTGCTTCTTCTTTATCCCATCCTGCTTCTGGGAGGGTGGATGCTTATTTTGGACCAGGAGGAAGGTACCCCATCTCAAGGATGGCCAAAGCCATGAGCTGGAGGGAAAGTGAGCCCCTAAGGATATGGAGCAGAACCACCACACTAATCTCAGTCGGCAAACCTCTAAACGTTTACTTAAAGGAGATAAATCCACTGTTATTTGTTGTGATTTCCAAGTGCTATTGTCTTAACCTATCCTCACTAATATATCAGTCTTGTAAAATGTAAATGGCTTTTGTTTATGCTTCTACATACAGTAATTTTCCAATAAGCAAATATGTGCTGCTTTTGCCTCTTAAAGATTTGAACGTCAAAAGAATATCATTCAGCATTCAGATAAGGAAACATAGTGGTGTTTGGGGTTTTTTGTTTTGTTTTAATCATGATAGGGGTAGGGAAAAAAAGCTGTTACGTCGACTTTCATTGATCCATAATTCCTGTTATTTTCCATCTCACTAAAAGCCACTTGTAGGTAATATGAAAACCTTATTACCCATTTACTTGTTTATTCAGAGAGTTGACTAAATCGCATGTGTATTCTGTAGCTATATATCTTTGGACATAAAATTTGCTTGTGGGCCCCTGGAGAACAGGAGCCAGATCCATGTCAGTTTATTTCTTCAATACGCATTGTAGACCTTACCTGTCCCAGGAACAGTGCTAGATACAGAAGATATGGACTTAAAAGTCATAGTCACTGGGAACTCAAGTGTGGAGAAAGAGAAATGAGATTTCAACATGTGTGGTAATTGCTTTGATATCTAGGAGATTATAATAAGAATATAGACAAAGGCACCTAACAGAGACAGTCTTCCCAGAAAAGGTGATGACCTTTACTGTCACTAGTACCATACTAATGCAATTACCAATATATCCAGTGTTGCACCTCCTCTTGCTCATACAGGCTCATGAGAGCTGATTGTTAAATTTTCAGGAATTTTATAAGCTGGATGTTCAACCCAGCTATTACTAAAAATTAAATAAAATTGATTTGCATTTAAATGAGTTATTTACAAAATAAAGCTAGCAAGTGCTCAAAACTCACCACTTCCTATTTTATTACATTTATTATTATCTATACTCGAGTTTGTTTTTGTCTATTATATTGGTATGATGGAAGTCACTTATACGGATGTGCTACAGTGCATGTCTTTCTAACTCCCTGTTCAGTGATATCATGTTAGTAACTTGAAACTGGCCATGGTAGGGTTATTTACATTACAGAAATTGGCAAGAACTATCTATCATGTGTTTGTTTTTTCAAGAAAGTTGGTTGTTAAACATTTACCAGCACACCTCTGAATGCACATATCTTATTTAATATTGAATAAATTGTTTTGAAGATGATGATAAGAAGAACCCTGAATATATTTTGAATGTTTTAATTTGTACTCGGTACAGCTTCAGTTCTGCTTTCTCTGTTTCTCAGACAACCACAACGCTATTTCCTTTTCATTCTCTTCACTATGGTTAGGGGAAAAGTAGATATGAACACATCTATCAGCCCACTTTTGAACACTGAGCGCTTTCTCTAGCATCCTCCCAGCAGCAAAACCATGAATCACAGTAAATACAGAGTGCATTGATTATTGCACTGGTGTTTAATACTAATAATACCTCATACACAAAAGGCATAATGTAGAATTTTGCATTAAAGACCACGGACCACTTTCTTACAGTCTCATTTGATCCTCATCGTAGCCTGTGAGGCAGCTACCATCCCAAATTTAGAGTTGAGGAAATAAGGTTTAGTGACTGAGAGACTAGTCTGAAATCCTATAGAAAGTGAAAGAGCTATAACTCAAACATGACTTTTCGGACTACTCACCAAGGTATTATTTTCTACTACAGTATGCTAGCTTTAAGCCAAAGAGAGAAAGTTATGGACTTTCAAGCTTTACACAGCCTGGGACAGATTTTGAGGAAAATGTAGCCACCTTCTTGACAATTAGTCCCGAAGTTATATACACTTCTGTTAAAGCACAAACTGTCATATCAAATTACTGTTTATATTTCTTTCTTGTGTGTTTCATCCTGAGCCTTTTAAGGACAAGGACCCAATGTTACTTATTTCAGTATCCCCAGGAACGCAACATAGTGCTTGGGTTGATGCTCCAAACTGCTTTTTAATTAATAGAGAAAAAGAATAGGTAGCCATCACCACCATGAATAGCAGCAAGTAATGACGACAACAAAAAATAACAATTAATAATAAATTATAGCCTGTTTAGTTTACTGCTGTAGAAATTCTGTGAGTAAAGGTAAGTTTATTTGACAGAATTTGGTATTTATTTACAAATCTGGCCTGTGGATCACGGCTCTGAAAATGAACTCCCTTTTAATGTTAATATTTACTGACATTCTTTATTCATTTAAATATTTGAAAGAATGGAGTGCAGGTGGATTTGATTGATGTTAGAAATAATACATCACACAACCTTTCTGAGTCTGAGTCACCTTACCTATAAAATTATGATAAAAATCCTCCAGATATTCTGGCCACACAGATATAACCAGTTTGGGAAAATTCCTTGATCTAGACAGTTATAATATGTGCCCTTCGGTGTCTTCTGCTTCAATCAAGTCTTGATTTATCATAAAGAATTATCATGGCAGAATGATCTATATATTTATAAAAGTGATTATTGCTCATAGTCCTATTACTCATCTATTTTGGCAGGTATTAACTCATATTTATATATACATACATATATTTTTAATGTATGTCAACTAAGCCAGAGATCTTGAAACCTTCTGACAA